ACTACGAAAATGACCAGCCAAATGAGATAGAGAATGTATGAGAATGAATGATTGAGAATCGAGCTACCAGTCTCTCTGATAGTAAATGGGGGAGTAGAATAGGTAAGACAGGACCTCTGGTCTATGGGTTTGGACCTATGGTCTAAGGAGTGTTTGGGCATGGGCAATCCCATAAGCGGCCAGTCTTTATTTGATTTTGTGCCATGGTAGCCTGCCGAGTGCACTGACACTCTAACTACTATCTACTTGTTTGCGTTTAGTGGGGCATTGCCAAATCACCGGACAGGGTGATGTTAAGCTCTGGTTCCACTAGACACTCATATGAGTCTCCATAGAGCACTGAGTCAAAAATGATATTTTTAGAGTCAAATGCATGATTTTAAAGTTTTACGTTTTGAGTCACATGTACATATCATAAACATATTGCATGATGAAATTGTAGATTATTCATGATTTGTATGATATTCTCTATTATGATTCCATGATTGATTTATTTGTTTATCATAATTAATTTTCAAATTAAATTATATATGGTTGTATATTTATATGCAGTTATGAACTTATTAGAAGGAATGTTTCTTTGGTTGATTTTATTGTATGAATGTTTTTTTTATTTGTTGTGGATAAAATTAAGTGTCTAACCCCATAAATATTTCAATCCCAGATGTTGGTGATGTGTGATGCAGGAATGTATAGTTCAAGAGATAGATATCAGATGTAAAAAAATCCAGAGCTTAGGTTGGGAATTGTATAACTTTATGACTTGTAATATTTTGAAAACTTTGTACTAGATGCTTCATTTAATATAAAAATTTACCTAAATTAATTATTCACTTGGTATATTTTCTATTAACCTTCTATGAATATTAAAAATATTACTAACTTAGATAATAAATTAGGATTAATAAATGTAATCTGTAAGGGGGTTACAAATATCAAACCAAAAAATTCTTCAAATTGCCTCAAATAGTGATAAGTATCTTGCAATCATAGTATCTTTGAATTTCGTCAATGTTAAGTGGTAAAAAGTTGATATAATTATATTTTGAATTGTTACGAAATCACTTAACTTATGTTAATTTTAATCTATTTTTCTCCCAATATAGGATGAATTCGAGAATACCTTGATACAAGAGTAAGGAGTATGATTGTGAACATAATTGGAGCAAAACTAAAAGGAGGAAGAAGATTTTGAGCATGGAAGTCGCTCGAGCGAGATAGACTCTCGCTTGAGCGAATATCAGTTATTCTTTTCTGGAACTCACTCGCTCAAGCGAGCATTTTGTTGCTTGAGCGAAAATGGGGAACTTTCGCTTGAGCGAGTGTTGTCGCTTGAGCGAAAGATGCGAAACACAAAAGACCAATTTCTCCTATAAAAAGATAAGACGAGTTTTGAGAGGGGGAGGCGTTTTTGGAGAGAAGAGGCGCGACTACTGCTAGGAGTTCGTCCAATCTTCATCAATTATTCACTTCTTCCACATTTGGAGGATTGTAATGGCCAACATGAGTGACTAATTTCATTCTCTTAGAATTTGGTGCACTTCCTTTGAACTCTGTTGTATCATGGTGATATTTTGAGATATTAATCTATGTTTTGATGTTGTTATTCTTATCCTTTGTGCTTTGGAATGATTTATTCTTGATGTTTGGGATATGATTGGAAAATATATCTTGAACCCTAGATTACGGTAAGAATATTTGTTACGTTAATTGCCAGGAATGGAATGAATGTATCAATTGCTTAACACCCTAAACCTAACGCTGGAAAATCTCTTAATTGTGTGAGGAATCAACATTTATTAGGTTTTCTTATGAATTTCATGTGTGAGGAATCAACATGGATGATTTGAGTAGGTGGCATCAACATTGTTAGGTTAATTGATGTTCTTAATTGACAGCCATTACAAAAGAGGAAAAAGGAAGGAAGTCAATCCTAAGTACCTTTACTTGATATTTTCTAAACAATTTACAGTTCTTTGTCATTTAATTTCAATTCAACTCTTTATGCCAAACTCATTCTATTTTAATCCACTTAGTAAGCATATAATTGGGAATTTCCATTGAAATCGTTCCTCGTGGGATCGACTTTTATTTAATCGAAATACTATACTACGATTGATAATTTTGGTACGTTTGTCAATAATTCAACAGTCAACAACTTCTGAATCAGTAGAATCTGCAGAACTACTACTAATGTTAATGGTTGCTCCATCTAGTCCTTTGTTAACATATTTAAATAAATACTTGATTGAATTTGACTTGTTGCAATATTCAATATTAACATCAGCTTAATACCTCATTAAAAGAAATGGACTATAAGGAATAACACTACAATTATCTAGTTTAAGTTCATTCTTTGTAACAAATATGTCATTGTCTCGACGTCTATAAGATGGATATCCATCTTCATCAATAGTAGTTGAAGATGCAAATTTCTTAGGATAATATTTTGAATATCTACCTTCTTTCATGCAGGGTGAATTGAATTTTGCAGCTCCACATGGACTATGGATCATGTAACTTGCAACCATGCTAGAAAGTTTTTGATACAAATCTGAATGAGGTAATTCAACAGAGATTACCTTATCAATGTCCTTTCAATTATTCAATTTATTTTCACTATCCAACCATAGTAAGATGTGAGCGTGTGAAAGTCCTCGTTTATGAAATTCTATAGTGTACATTCCTAATATCAAAATAAATAAGAAATAAAATATAAAATCATTATTATTTAAATTTATAATATGCAGTAATAAATTATACAAAGCTACATTGACTTTTCCAAAGAAGTTATCTTTCATGAAATCTGACATCATTTTATGTAACTTCATTTGAAAACCCAACAAATAATATCAGGTATATCTGCAACAGTTAAACTTCCTGCATAAACAAAATAATGTATTTCACTCCATTTTACATTGCATGTGATAGTTATGAATAAATCTGGGTATCAAAATCTTTTGCAAATAGCCATAGAATCTTGAGAGTTATTAAACATGTATCTCATACCACTAGTATATAAAGCATGTCGAACCACATGTTTGCCAAATGAAGAAGGATCAGTCTCACCTTTTCTAAATGCTTCTTATAATCCGTAAAGAAGATCATAACGAATTAATTTTTAATGTGTTCGTATGAATGACAATCTTAGAGCTTCAATCATAATATAATAATCAATCAAGAATTGTTGGAATAATCTACGTGTCATGACAATGTTACCAAATTCAACAACTCTCTCTTGAATTCTAAATGCAATAAATTCCCTTTAAAAAATACGAATTCTTTTACACATTTGAGTACAATTCACAGACTCTCTTATTGGAATATCTTCTTGATAGTCATCTTCTCCATATGGAAATATCAAAGGATATTGCAAAGGAATAATGGTTGTATGTGTTTCATTTAATGGTGTCAATTCACTATAAACCTTTTGGACAATTATATCTATACCTATATCCATGTTATCCAAGTCACCAACTATCAATGTTACTACCTCATCTCGATGTATACCCGAGAATCCTTGGATCGATTTCAAACAAATGCAATTTAAAATCTTCTCTTGGATCATAGCGTAAAAAATCTCTAACTCTTCTAAAAGATTGAGCAAGAACATTGAATTAATCAATCATTCTTGTCAAATCACAATTAAAGAATCATTAAAGATTGAGTTATGTATGTTGGACCTATTAGCAAAAAGTACATATAGATAAGAAAAAGACAATTTTAAATAAATAAGTATAAGAATAAACAATATAATACTTACCCAAAATGGGAAACTCTTTTTGTTATTTCATTTTGAGTATATAGATATAAAGTTGAGAAAATTTGGGACTGCATCCATTCTATGGCAATAAACTTCCAATTACTGTGATGATTTTACCCATTAAGAATAAATTGAGGAGGACCACATCTATCATTGACTGAAGAATTAATCTTACCATGAATTGAAGCAAAGAAAACATGTTATTGTAAGTTCTAATGTTTTGTAAAAAGTGGTTTCTTCTTAGTTCTAGTAATTGACATTTAGCTTTTTAATAATGATCTAAAACAAAAATAGATTGTATTTCATCTATTAATATATTTTAAAAAACATAAGTATGTAATACTAATATCAACATTAAAAAAAACAAATTTAAAAATAATTACTATGTTGAATATATTTCATATTAGAAACAAAACAACATGTTGTTAGCACTTCGAAGTTGGAGATGATGTATTCCGACTTAAATTTGGAATAAATTTATTTAACAGTTGACCTATGCATCACAAAAAATAATGCATATTAAAAGTTGTAATTAATTGGGGATCTAATATTTAATGAATAATATGATGAATAGGAAGTAACTAATTTGAGGAACTGTTTTACTCTGAATTTATTGCCTTTCATGAATACAATGATACTCAGTTAAAAAAAGAAAAAAAAGTCTTATTAACAAAATATATTCATATTCTAAGCTCTCCTTTTTTTTTTCTTTATTCTTATCAAAATTTCATTTTTATCAATGGTACATATTCTACATTCGTTTGAGTTTGGTGAGTTTTTGCACACACCGGTATTGAGGGAACATAAAGTTTTGGGCCCAAATTTCAGTTCACACCTTGGAATGCATCAAGTAGTATGTGAAATGATTTTACCACTTGGATCACGCTTTCTTTAACACAAACAAAATACTCTCATTCATCATGTTTTTTACAGAAACAAGTTTCATTGCGTAAAAAAAAAAAAATACGTAGTATTTGCTACACCCCTTAAAATACAAAACAACAACAAAAACCACTTCCATTCCAACATAGTATTTGAGTGAAACTTTCAGAAAAAAGTGTTCAAGATATGATGGTAACCTACAAAATATGAAGACGAAGACAATACTTTCCGGTAACCTCGAAATCTGAAACCTGTAACCATCAATAAAATGCTTGACAGAATCCAAAATTTCACGAACAACCAAATTATAGACCTCTTGGTAACAGTAATAAACAGTCAAAGCAAAAACACCAACCTAAGGCATGACACTGAGCCAAGCAAGGAGTGTAGATATAACGGTTAGAACCAAAACTGAAGAAACACTTGCAATCACCACCATGATGCAGACTAGGATTATTAGAAAGATGCCACTACGCTGTGGAAGCATTGTTCCCAGCAGCCAGAGTAAGAAGTAGAGCACAATCATGAAAACCATAACCATCATCACATTGGGGTGTGCCATGAATAAAGCTTCTCCCATTGGTGTGGTCTTGAATGCTATAAAACCAAACAACCACTTGAAGAATTTGTCAAAGATCTCTCGTAACTCCCTGAATCGATTCACCTCCTCCTCTCTGAGGCATCAAAGAACAATTAGTGGTAGAATACCACAACAACTGAATGTGAAAAGCGTGATCAATAACATACCTCGTTGGAGCTGAATTCACAGCATTCGTCTGTGTCATCATCCTTTGTCTTCTCCCCTAAGCAAGAAAATGTGATAGACTTTGCAGGTTTTATTATAACGGTGATTTATGTATATATATATATATATATATATATATATATATATATATATATATATATATAAAGAGAACAGAGTGAGAGAGAAACTCTTACAAATTTAAATTTGCGTGCGAAAAATTCAGTCACTGCATCATTCGTTGAACGTATTAAACGTATAATACGTATTTAATTAAATTGTCAAACTGAGGTCCAGTTTATCTGTTGAGAAAGAAAAAATAAAAAATAAAGAGTGCGAAGAAAGAAAAGTATGGGAAATAAATATAATAACACCTTTTTTTGTTTTGTTTTGAAGATGGTTTGAAATGGCCATGTCATTGCGCGAATTAATTATAGTTGGAAGTATAAAACGCGGTTGAAAATGGAACAACACTGTCCCTTTTACCCGTTTTACTAAGCATAAAACGTGAGTGCGTGAAGCAATATTGAGCCATTGAATTGGATGTACCTAAGTCGTAATAGAAGCTTACAAAATTAAAGATTTGTGTTCGTTTTCAATACTTAGAACTATTAATAAAGAATTATAACTTTTAAATTAATAAAATAAACAAATAAAATTTAATATGAATTAATTAGGGTTATATGTTGGGAAAAATATGCTGAATCTTCCCATATGGTCAGATCTGTGAAAGTGAAATAAAAGCGGAATAATTGCACACACAAGTTGATAACGGAGTTCGGCCAATAATGCCTACGTCTCCGGACTACTACAGATCTCTTTCTGGGAGAAAAGAAAAATACACAAGTGTTTACAAAACACTCCCAAAACACTCACAACTCACAACCCAATTACACCCAGAAGCTAAACTAAAACTCTCTAGTTTTTCTGCCTCTCACTGGTGCCACTCTTTCTTCTCTAAGAGAAGTAGTATTTTGTGTGGGATGGGATACATTTGCTTGCAGGGAGAAGACCAATTTATAGCAAAAAAATTGGCACTGTGCATTACATTAAAATATGTCCCATGAGCACCTCATGGTTACATAAAAAATTTGGCAGCCACCCTTGCCCACTTTCTTTGACCAATTGCAGCCACCCTTGCCCACTTTCTTTGACCAACAATCTCCCACTTGAGGACCGATTTCAATTTGTCCTCACACCTTGATCAATAGTAGTCTTCTCTTGTACTGTTATCCTTGTAAGCTAACCGAAGTTGAGCATAACTTCGGTTTGTCAATAGTCACCACCTTTGTTAGCATATCTGCTTGGGTTCTTACTTCCCACAATTTTCTTCAATGTTAGCATCTCATCCTCAAGTAGAGATCCGATGAAATGATAACGTATGTCGATGTGTTTGGTTCCGGAGTGAAATGCTGAATTTTTTGCCGGATGTATTGCACTCGACTATCACTGTGCAAAACACTCCTTTCTTGAATGAATCCCAACTCGCCAACAATCCTTGAAGCCATATCAATTCTTTACTGGCTTACATCACTGCTACATACTCGGCCTACGTAGTGGATAAAGTAACAATCTTACGTATCCGTGACATCCAACTAACAGTTGTAGTTCCAACGAGTAAACACATACCCAGTGGTGCTTCTTCGGTGATCAACTTCACCTCCAAAGTCCGCATCTACGTAGCCTCGCAATTTTAGATCTCCTTTTCTAAAATACAAACATTTTTCTGTTGTGCCTCGTAGATACCTCGGAATCCATTTGACTGCTTCCCAATGAGCTTTTCCTGGATTTGACATGAATGCGCTTACAACTCCCATTGCATGGCCAATGTCCGGCCTCGTACGGACCATCGCGTACATCAAACTTCCAATGGCTGAAGCATACGGAATCTTAGCCATTAACTCTTCTTCTTCCTTTGTTTGAGGAGGCTGATCCTTGGATAGACGAAAATGGCAAGCCAAAGGTGTATTGACTGGTTTGGCATTGTCCATGTTGAATCTCTGCAAAACACGGTTGATGTACTCCGCTTGAGATAACTGCAAAAATCCTTTTTGCTTATCTCTCGTGATTTGCATTCCAAGAATCTTCTTTCTTGGGCCTAAGTCCTTCATGTCAAATTCTTTTGACAACTGCTTCTTTAAGTTTATGATCTCATTCATATCTGAACCTCGCTACTAGCATATCATCAACATAAAGTAGCAAAATGATATAACTGGACTTATACCTCTTGAAGAAACAACGGTGATCGACGTTGCACTTCGGAAACTTTCTTTATGCATGAAGCTTTCGAACTGCTTATACCATTGTCTTGGAGCTTGTTTCGGGCCATACAAGCTCTTTTTCAATCTGCACACCAAGTTCTTCTTTCCTTCGAAAAACCTTCGAGCTGGTGCATGTAGATCTCCTCATCTAAATCTCCATGAAGAAATGCGGTCTTCACATCTAATTGCTCTAGGTAGAGCTCCTCACTAGCCACAATACTTAACACGAGTCCGATAGTATTGAGCTTTACAAGCTGGAGCAAAGATTTCGGTGTAGTCGACTCCTTCTTTCTGCTGAAATCCTTTGACGACCGATCGAGCTTTGTATCTCTTAGAACCATCATGGTCTTCCTTCACTCGATACACCCATTTGTTGTGAAGTGCTTTCTTTCCCATAGGTAACTTGACTAGTTCCCATGTCGATTTGAGATCAAAGACTTCATCTCGTCTTTCATGGCAAGCTCCCACTTGCTAGCATCACGTGGCTTGACAAGCTTCAGTATAATCTTCGGGCTCCCCTCCATCGATCAACAACATATAGTCCATGTATCTCCTGTTAGGCACATGAGGCGAGAAGACCTTCTCAATACGGGAGTTGGAGTAGGAGGTTCCGCTTGCACATCAAGTTCTTCAACTGATTCCTCTAGCTGAGGACTCCTCATTATAGGACTTTCCGGGATATCTTCCACCTCTGCATAAGCTGGCCCACTCGCTTCGAGTTGCTGGCATCTGTATTGTGCTTGTCCTTGTACATCACTCTTTCATTGAAGATTACGTCTCTGCTGCGGATCATCTTTTTGTTTTCATCGTCCCATATGCGGTAGCCAAACTCATCTTCACCATAACCAAGGAAAGTACATTTCTTTGATTTTGGATCAAGTTTGTTTACGCCTTGATCAGCGATATGCGCATATGCTACACAGACCAAAAACTCTAAGATGTGAGAGTTTTACCTCTTTTCCGCTCCATACCTCTTCCGGTATCTTGTGTTCCAATGGTACCGATGGACTTCGGTTGATCAAGTAAGCTGTTGTGTTGATCGCTTACGCCTAAAGCTGCTTTGGTAAGCTGATCGCACACGCATGCTTCGGCCCTTTCGATCAACGTTCGATTCATACGCTCAGCTACACCATTGTGTTGAGGCGTACCGGCACGGTTCTCTCCATTCCGATTCCGTGCTCATAGCAAAATTTCTTGAATTTGGTGTCTACATATTCACCACCATTGTCGGATCCGAGCTTCTTAATCTTCAATCTCGTCTCATTTTCCACCATAGCTTTCCAAATCTTGAAAGCTTCAAATACTTCCGACTTATATTTCGGAAAGTAAACCCATACCTTTACGGAGTGATCATCAATGAAAGTCACGAAGTAATGCTTCCCACCAACGGATGGGACGAGTCGTTGGACCCCAAACATCGAGTGGATGAGCTCAAGCTTCTCTTTCTTTGGGGTTCTTTTACTTGTCTGAAAGCCGACTCTCTTCGCTTTCCAAGTATGCGATCTTCACACATGTCAATATTTATTGGTCGAAGACCTGGTAATTTTCCTCTCGAGTGCATGACCTTCATTCCTTTCTCACTCATATGTCCAAGTCTTTGGTGCCATATGTTGGAATTTTCATTTGTTGCAAGCTGCAATCAAATGACATGCTCCTGCGAGTCTTGTAGAGAGTTCCACTCTTTTTGCCTCGAGCAATCGTCATCGCACCTTTTGAGATTTTCCATTCATCACCGTGGAAGATTGTTGTATAGCCTTCACTAGCTAAGCGACCTACTGAGATTAAGCTCTTTGTCGGATCGGGAATATGTCCGACATTTTTCAATTCCCATACGAGACCCATTCGGCTTAATCCTTACTGCACCTTTGCCTACAATCTCACATGATTGTTCATTACCAAGGTAAACCTTACCAAGGTTTCAGGAAACATAATTCTCCAACGAGTTCCTTCGTGAGGTAGCATGAAAAGATGCTCCGGAGTCTAACACCCAAGACTCCTCCCTGCCTTCAAGGGAGCATATCAACGCCTCATCTTTTCCTGAGGTGGAGGCAACGTTTGCTTCGTCCTTTGCTCCTTGATTCTTCAGTGCACTCTTGCACTTGGTTTCACGAAGTGTCAGGTCTTCCCACAATTCCAACACTCGATCGTTTTTGAGTTGTGGGAACTACGATGATTTCCGGACTTGGACCGCCTGTCCTTTGATTTTCCATGTCCAATTTCTTTGGTTGAACTTCTTCCTCTTGACTCTGTATGCAATGCTGAAGAGGTTGATGCTTCACCCGACTCTCTCCGCGGATCTCTTCGCTGAGAACCAAATTTTGAACATCATTAAATCTTAACTTATTGTTTCCAGATGAGCTACTCATAGCTGTGACCAGTAGCATTCCAACTCTCCGGTAGGGAAGACAAAAGTATTAGAGCCTGTACTTCATCATCGAATTTGATGTCAATAGAACTCAAGCTGGGTTGTTACGGTGTTGAGTTCATTGAGATGATTTGCCACCGAAGCACCTTCGGACATCCGCGGGTTGAACAATCGCCTCATCAAGTGAACTTTGTTTGAGGTCGATGGTTTCTCGTACATGTTGGAAAGAGCCTTCATGAGATCTCGAGGTCGTCTTTTCTTTCACAATGTTGAAAGCAACATTACGGGATAATGTTAGACGAATAACTCCAAGAGCCTGTCTATCAAGGAGTCTCCATTCTTCCTCTTTCATGGTTTACGGCTTCTCCCCGTGAGTGGTTGATGCATCTTCTTCGATACGAGATAATCCTCTATTTGCAT